GGGACGGGGCCTCCTGGGCCTGGCCCGCGCCTCCCTCCCTGCCCGTCGGGGTCCCCGCCGGCAGTGACGATGTTCTCTCTCAAGCAGCCCAAGCCCACCTTCAAGTCCTACGTTCTGCCGTTGCCTCAGGTAAGAGCCTTTTATTTCGGTTAGCGACTTGCTCGGCTCTTCCCTGCCCTGGCCCCGGTCTTGGCCGAGGTACCACCGCCGGGGCTGTCCTCCCCTCCCGGAGCGAGGCCTGCGAGACACCCAGACCTGTGCCTCTGCCGAGGTTACCAGCCTCCCGGGGCGGTAAACCGGCACCTGCGGGTCTCCGGAGAGGCTTCTGAGGAGCCTGTGGAAATCGTCTATCGCACGGCAAAACAAAAGCTGCGCGCTCGGTTGAAGTGCGGCCTCATGGGCTTTGAAGCTGCACACAAGCATAAAGTGGGTATGTGCTGGTGACAAGCCCAAACTTTGGTCGATGAGCAAAACTTTTTTTAAAAATACAGTTCCGTACTGATTAAAACCGATTGTTTTGAAAAGTTATGAATCTAGCTTCAGGTATTTGGGGTTGCTTTCCTCTGTGCTGGGTGGGGTTGGTGTTGTTCGCACCATGGAGTGCTTTGGTGAGAAAACAGCTGGTGCTTGTCAGCTATGCAAATGTTTAGACTCTCACTGTCGCCATCATTTAGCATTTAAATTTTAGCTGATGACATAAATAAGAAAAATCAAATATATTGTATATATCTCGAGTATATATAGTAGAATACTACATATAGTGCATATAGTTACAAATATAGTGGAGCCACCAGGATTTTTGTGTATGGTCTGGGTGTGTCATTGACAAAATCTAGGCCTTATATATTTATTTTAGACAAGGCAGGGCCTCTTCTAGCAAGGCATTTGACATGTTGACTCATTTGTGCTTTTTCACAATCCTTGATCAAAGTGAAATGTTGATGCAACATAGTTCTGGGTATTCCTAGTCCTTGGAAATCACAATATCGCTGTCATTGTAGGAACTATTGGTGTTAAGGTTATTTCACTGAAGGCTCCAGTCTTTTTATGGAGGTATTTTTATTTTAAAGGTTTGGAAGACAAGTATGTGTTGCAGGCTTTGGGTTTTCTTTGAAATTTTTCCTATGTCAGAAAGTCATGCGTGTTGAAAGATGGTCAAGAGTTTTGTGCAGAAGTAAATGTCAGTATCTATAGAGAGTTTGGTGTATTACTTGGGCCTTTATGGAATGTCAAGTCAAACTGTTTTCCGTTCATCCTGTGACTTGTTATAGCCTAGGTTACGCAATTAGTTGAACATTAGCACTTTAAATACTATATTATTTTTTCTGGCACAAAGCTAAACATAGACAAAAATGTTAGTATCTTTACAGAAAACTGTTGTTATGGTTGGATCCTAGCTCTTTATGTTCAGCTTTTTAAGTTAAAAGAGGAACTTTCTCCTTTGCCCTTGTAGGTTGGACTTGTGTCTGGCTGTAAAGTTCTGATTCTTAAGCAAATTATCTCTGTTTTCTCTTTTTTTTTTTTCTTCAGGCTGAAGACCATATCACTTCAGAACCAAGGATTAAAAAACTGGAACCAGTACTTTTGCCAGGTAAGCAAAAATTAGGAATTGGACAGATACCTCAACAAGGATATATTTAATATAATAGTATTGGTAAAATGTAAATGGTTCTCCCTGTTTTGCTGTGATTATTGATTTTGGTATATTTTAATCTTGGCGTGCTCCTTGAGGGAGTGTAACTTTTAAGTAGGAAAATATATTTGTATCTACAAGTATATATTTGTATCTGCATGTAGAGAAGTGTCCCAATTTGCCTGAAACACTAAAGAAATACATAAGCAATTTTGTAACACCTGTGTAGGCATGATGTAAATGTAGGTGTGAAACACTGGCTTGGTTTTATTGGAGGTATTTGAAATGAAACCATTTTAAATTTTGTAACATTTATGACAGCTTTTGGAAGACTCTTGATATTTATATTTTTGTCATGTAGTCAGACCTTCATCTGTATGCAGAACCTACTCCCATAGCATGTGTTGTAGTCTTCCTTTATTTTAAAGGAAAATATTCATAGAATTGCCAGTAGGTAGGTACGATTGACTTCTGTACTGGAAAACTTCTAATGCCATCTTCGTTCGTTTACTGTTATTGAATATGCAGCTGCTGCGTAATTCTGGAATTTGTAAGTGTCTTTAAGCCTATGCAGAGTAACCTTTTGTGTGTGGATGAGAAAAGCGATGTTCTTATTATTGTTTATAATTACATATCTGTAAAAATGTGGGATAGTCCGGACTTATATATTTTAATCAGAAATAATCTTTGGTAAGTGCTGTTGATCAATGAAATTTTCTAAAAGCCTTTTCAGACACCAAAGGAACAATCTACTGCTCTCAAGGCTACTCTTATTGCAGAGTATGCATCACAGTAATAAATTTAGCTTCGTTTCTAAGGGTAATTTTGAATTTAAAACAGAATACTGCCTTCCCCCCTCCACCCAGCATTCAGCTTATATTTTAACAAATATGAATTTACACACACAGAGTAATGTCAGAAGCTATTGCTATCATGTTGTCTGAGTCGATAAAACATGCTAACTTTCAGAGTGATCAGCAGAATAAAAAAGCTACTCTTAAAATTCCTTTCTGTCGCTGCTAATTTAGCAGTACTGGTTGGTATGTGGTATGGTCCAGTGAAGTACCTGAAGCTTAGGAAGCTGAAATATTGTGGAGGTCAGTTCAGCTGACTGAAACTCGTCATGAAATAAAATACAGATTTTGCTTGAGGCATAAATACCTCAAAATACATTGCTAAGATTGTTCAGTATTTGAAATACAGTTACACTTTTTTTGCTTGCAAAACTTCTGTTTACCACTTGGCATCTTATTGGTTATGTTGCAGCTGATACTCATCCAAATCTTTGACTCACAAGGAAGTGACTGCGTGTTCTTCCCTGAGACATTCCACAGAAAATGCAAGGCAGTATGAGTTTGCTTTTCACAAAGTGTGACATGCTTTGCCTTTACTGTGGGATATGTGCATGAGCCACCAACAAAAAACATCTTGTGTGCAGTGACTTCTTGCACTGTGGTTCATTCTTCATTCGTGAAACTTAGAAGTACAATTAAAATGGTGCTGATTTGGTTTGTTTTTCTTAACTGGTTTATATTTATCCTATGTTTGCATCATTTCCCTTGTCAGCACTGTCTTTGAAATAAGCATTTGATGGCTTTTGGGACACTAGTAAATTGCCTCAGTTATATAGAAACTGGTTGAAAGAGTATGACTTGCCACAGAATTAAAATTTCCTCTTCCTTACCATTCTAAGGTGTTATTTAGAATTATTTAATAAAACTCACTGCTTTGTACAGCTGCAGAACAAAATTTTTTCACTTTTGTGAGCATCAGTCTATATGAGGGTGGAGAGGGGAGTGTTCAGAAGTAACTTATGTTATATGACTTGAAACTCTTCCTGTTTAAAGTTAAGCACCGGCTTAAACACTTTTTTTTTGTTTCTGTCATCAAATGGTGCAGTAGAAAACGTTATAAACAAGCACACATTGTACTGTTGAATAGACTGGCTTTTGGATTTGTCATAATCCAAGTTTCTGGCCAAATTCCAACTCATGTAATTTTATTAAGGCTGACTTGCACTCCATTGCAAGCACAGTTTAAGTATGGTATTCCTAATATTCTGTCCTTAATGGTTTCGTAAAATTGCTTTTGCTTTCAGGAACAGAGAGCAAACATGAGCCCCTGAATGATTATTTTTCTGCTTTAATTGGTGGAGTTTTTAAGGTGTTCTTTTGGAATTAAATTAGCACAAGCAGTTACTGGCTCTAGTAATATTCAAAAACTGCAAATAGGTGCATTAAGCTTTTGATTCCTACAACATGGTCACTCAGAGTGGTTTGCTAAAAATTGAAATTCCAAAGTAGCTAAATACCCTACTGGCTAACTTGTATTTCTGTGTTGTGAAGGTTAAGAGAGGGTGTTCCGGACACGGAAATAATGAGTCAGGTTACCAAATAGGGAGGGTTTGTTGTTTGTTTCTTTTTTTAAGAAAAGGGCATTGGAATCGACTTTTAACCTGTAGAGTTGTTTGTTTTTAAAGCTTCCTTTGGTGCCCAGAAGAGACTGATCTCTCCAGCTTTTGGAACAACAGTCTGTATTTTCATTAACTGTGTGCCCTGAGGAGGGTGATGTATTAGGAAAAGCAGCAAACATAGTTTAAAGCGAGTAAAAACCTTGGTTGTAAATGGCAACACTGATACTGCCCTAGGGAAAATCAAATAGTTTTATAGAATCTGGTATAATTTCATTCCAAAACATGTAGTATAGGTTTACGATGGAGTTCTAAAAATGTGGTTTGTTGGTATTTTTTTTAATGTTTATCTTTAGGGTTCTGTTCGCCTAGCACAGCTTTCTGATCAAGAATTTTTGCAGGGTTAGTTGGAGAGTTGGCCTCTGTAACAGTTATGGGGTTTTTTTTCCCCTTTGTTTTGCATAGCTTGTTTTATAAGCATGTCAAAGAGGAACAATAGAGAAGTAGCAGGTAGTCTACCAGCCTAAGTGCCTTGCCTGGCTAGTAGGGAATTGGCTTTGTGTACTTCAGGCAAGAATGAAGTTTAAGTTGTTAAACTTGAAGGTGTGTTTTTTTCTGGTAAAATTGCAGTCTATTTTCCACAACAGTATCTGTAGCATTTTTGAGACATCAACTTAAGCATTCAAAAAACTTATGCAGCATAGCTGGAATGTTTTTGTGAATGGCAAAGCAGTGTGCAGAGAGGTGCAGTACATGAGTGGGTAATGACCCAGCCCGGTGTCTGTACTGTAAGCAGTGCCACACCATGGTGTAGATTAGATGAAAAAGGTCCTCACTGTTGCTCACACAGGGTGTTCTGCAGGAGATTATGTAAATAATGGAACATCTGATTAAGCGTGAGAAAAGGATTGCTTCTCCTGAATCTTAGTACACACTTGTAGTAATTATTTTAAAGAGCTTCTCCGTATACTAATTTGTGAGTAGATTAAGTTAATAGTTGTTACCTGTAAGTTTCTACGAAACAGCTAGAAATTATCTAGTTGGTTTTGGTTTTAAAACTATACAGTGAAATAAACTATACTAGAAATAAACTGAATTAGAGTAGTGGGCTTTTTATCTCTCAGATTTGCTCACGTTAAGCAAGTTAAAGGAATATTGGCAGTCTTGTCTGCACCATGTTTCATGGTCAGATCGTAGCAGTCAACTTCAGTGCCACCACTGGTCTGTGATCGCACCCGTGGTGGGTTTATAGATGGTCATAAGTACATCTGGACTGGGTCAGATGTCACCTCTTGCTGATGGTGTCTGCCAGCAAGCACATGGGAAGAAGAAAGAATGGGATGAGCAGCACTCCCTGTCTCCTTCAATGGAGGCTTGGGGTCTTTCCTCTTAGAGTAATGTATTAATGAGGAGATACAAGTGGGAAATTAGAAAGCATCATAAGAGACAGTGCTACCGTATTGTAATTGCTCTTGCTGTATTTCTTGTGTAAATTTATCTAATTGCTTTCTGTAGCCATGTAAACTTCTGTCACCAACAGCTGCATCTGGTAAGGAGTTCTGCAATTGAATTATATCGCTACAAACTGCATTTGTTTGTTTTAAACTTGCCATCATCAAGTTTCTTTGGATAAATCCTAGTTCTTGTATGACACAGCAAACATGAAGCCGTATTCCCTCATTGAATGTGACTTGTGATTTTCAGACTTGTGTATATATCTGCCCTGTTTTGCTTTCCTTTAGCTTAGTTGTCTTAGTTGACCCTAAGAAGGAAGCTTTCCGTAACTTTTATCATCCTTTTGATTACCTCAGCATCCAGTTGTGCTGTGCTCTTGTTGAGGCGGAAATCCATACTGTGTTCAAGATTTTTGCCACTGGCTTTTATCTAATGATGCCAATCTAATTGGCTTTACCCTCTGCTTTTTGGTTTGATATTTTTTTTGTATACCTTAGGCAACTGACTAGAAATTCAATTGAAGGAAGTTTTTTAAAACTGTGTCACAGAAAGTTTTAATCTTTTAGAAGTCTCAGATTCTCTTGCAAATTAGCTCCCAGCTCTTTTTCTATGTGGATTTTTTTTCCTGCCTTCTGAAAGTCCTTAGTACATTAAGTCATGTGTTCTGGAGCAGCTGCAACACATTTTGTGATAGAAGTAGTAAAGTACACTCTTTGGTGAGGCATCCTTGTGTGTTAGTACCCTGGGTATGTTGACTCCTTTGACTGCTTTGAACCCCTGCACCTCTTTCTTGGTGTTTTTTGTTTTGTTTGTGGTGTCCCAGAGCTGGAGACCAGAGGTCAGGGTGCTGCAGTGCATGATGGCAGCACTGTGACTGAGGAGAGGGTAAGAAACAGACCAAGTTAGTGAGGTTTATGTGTAACCCCACAGATTTGTCAGATCTGCTTTTTGTGGAATCATTTTGGTTTAACACCTCAAAGGGGAAACTGGGATTGTTTAATTGCTTGGTACAAGTAGTAATGCTGTTACTGTCAGTGCCTTTTTCCATGTATATTTCTGGAATGAGTTGATATTCAAGTAGGTATTGTTTGAT